GTAAAATAAATAAGTAACTGGGATTTAATGTATAGCATAAGGAATATAGTCAAAATATTGTAACAACTTGGTATGGTGATAGCTGGTACCTAGAATTATGATGTATATAAATGTTATATCACTGTGTTGTACACCTGAAACTAATGTAATACTGTGTCAACTACCTTTCAATAAAAAAATAAACAAATAAAAATTCTAGTGATATATATTATACTAACATTAATGCATTTGGGAATTAGTGGATGCCTTTATGACCATCATTTGGCATCATGGCCAAGAAACATCACAGGGTTCATACTGACCTCAACATTATTCACATGTAAGAATATTCACATCACTTGCAAAATATGTAAATATATGCATATTCACAAGAAAGTGCTTTAGGATCATTTTTCAATTAGTCTTAGTCCATTAGAAGTGTCTGAGACTTGCTTGACTAGTTTTTTCTTCATTTCTCTGGTTTCAGGAAACCCTGAGTCAAATTCTCTTTTGTAGACCTAAAATCTCCATGACTCAATAATTCTATGAGACTGTGAAATGCAATACTATAACCACTAGCTACATGTGGCTATTGAGCACTTGAAATGTAGCTAGTACAACTGAGTAACAAAATTTTAAATTTTACTGAATTTTAGGTTATTTTAACCTAGTCACATGTGCCTAGCAGCCAGTGTAATGAACAGCACAAGCATAGTTATACTGAGCCCAACTGATCCATCTCATAGATAAGTAAAATAAGATCTAGAAATGCAAAGTAATTTGTGTAAATAGATCCAAAGAGCCAGTGTTAGAAACTGGGTCTCCTGACATACAGTCCATATCGTGGACTGCCATAAAAAAGATTAAATTAAAAGTCTGCAATACAGAAAGGCAAAGACTATTTGAGAGTTTAGACAAAGAAGGGCTGGCGAAGGTTGGTCTGCTTCAGGGACACCAAATCCATTTGTTGCTTCCAGTGTCCTGCATCCCACCTCTGGGAAGCTTGCCTAATCTTGCTCAGAAAGCCAAGTGGAATCATGATTATTGCAAAGGTGGATAATACATGAGCCTAAGGCCCTTTACACTTATACCCCTTTGGTCCTCCAAAATGCAATCCCATCAGGAGGAAGGAATTCAGCGAGTGCTCCAGGAATGGCTAGCTGGTTTGTCCCCTTAACATCTCCTCCAGAAGAGATTAAACACAGACCATGAATGTCCCTGGTCTTTCCGATGGGGAGAAACCTCCCTGCTGTAGAATATGTTTCAGACAGATGAGTACTGCTTCCATCATGTGCATCTGAGAGATGCTTTACATTTTCACACCTTGTACTCTCTTAACCCCTCCACTAGCTGTCATTTTACAAGTTGTCTGAATTATGAACAGGCTGCCCACCACAGTTTTTGTTCACCAGCGCAGGGGTCAGGGCCAAAGGGAAAATTCCGGGAGCTCCATGTTTTTTCCCAAGAAATAACAATGTGTGTAATTACATTTGAATATTTAAGGTTCAATTATGCATCACTGGGGCTTCAGGCTACTCAAACAATTTTAACTTGATGAGACTTTCATCTTGGAAAGTCACAACAATTTGTTAAAATGACTGCAAATGTCACCAACATTTGTAAGCTGTCTTGCAATGACAGTTACCCCTGGAATAGCTCTGTTAAAGGAGACAGAGGAGAACACAGCACCAATAGGACAGGCCCATGTGCACAAAACCATTCAAGAATCTGGTAATGCTTTCAGAATTATAGCATTTTTTCATATCTATTTTTGTTATTTGAGGTTAAGCTTTGAAAAAAAATCAAGTGCCTACCACTCACTAAAAGTCTCCAGATTCTAAGTTCTCCTTAAAAGAATCGTTTCCCTTTTGTTAACTATGAAGCTCCTATGATTTTTTCTTTTCAGATTGTCACTACCCTTAGGTTCCTGGCAAGATCGTCATTTGGGCTGAAAGAATCCAGTGTGTTACCAATTCTCTGCGGCCTGATGAAGCCAAAACCAGCTGCAAGGAAGATGATCCTGCAGACCGTCATCCAAGTCCCCATTCTAGAAAGACGCCCAGGGAGAAAACGGGCCCTCGTGATTAAAATTATGTCTCCATACACTTAAATGCGTGCATCATATATTGTATGTTAATTATACCTCAATAAAGTTGTTTTTTTTTAAAAAAGACACTATGTCTTTCCCCAGAGCAACAGAAGATTTATAAAAACAAAGAAGGAAATGTTGCCACTTAGTTTCAACTGTGCAAGGAAAATCGTCTTTCTGACCCAGCTCAGGAAGAATTGTGTAAACACTCCCATTCCCCGGGGTACCTCAGACTTCACTGTTGAACACTGTCCAGAGACAGCCATAAAGAAGAAAGCATAGGGCATGGCGGGCTTCCGTTTCACACACTGAAATCAATTGGTGGAACATAAACAGTTCTCGGTGATTTTGCTTGTATTTTTAAAGAAGTGTTGGATGACTTTATAACCATTTGTGACATGCAGAAATATTCTAATATCTCAGGAGTACATCTGCTTGATAAAATCAGGCTCGTCTGAAAATCTTTTATACATTCCCAGAAGCAGAACATCAGACTTCTCTCCCCTAAATTGGGTCCACTTCCAAAACCTCCATGAAAAGTACCCACTCCCAATTCCATCTCTATTGTTTTACTCTAAGAAAGTCCATGTCTTTAAAAATACCAACAAACTATCACTTTGATTAAGATGTTCCAGCTAGAACAGGGACATCTTTTCTTTACCCTCTCAGCCACCCACCTCACAGCCATCCTCTATAGAGGGCAGTGAGGATTCTTGAAGACAGCCTGGGTCTGAGTCCCAGGTCCGCTACCTCATAGTCAATCTTAGGCAAGTTGCATCACATCTTTGTGCCTCAGTTTCCCCATTTTTAAAATGGGGGCAATATCATTATCTGCCTCATAGTCTTGTGTAATCGTATTAAGGAAATCTGTTATTGTAAAGCACTTACCCATGTCTGGCACATAGAAAGCACTCTACATGCGTGTTAAGTAAAGTAGCTTTGCTTAGAAATCTGTTGAGTAAAAGTAAAAATGTGTTGGGGCTCTCTTGTCCCCTCCTGGCATGAGCTGGGAGCTCTGTCTTCTCACTTTATCTCTAAATAAAAGCCTGTACCTTGCTCTCCTACCTTGGGTGTTTGTGAAGCTCATTCGTTGACTTTGCAAACAAGAACCCCGGCATCATCTTTCGGGGTTCATCCGGGATAACTTTGGAGGTGAGTATCAGCATCCAAGCCTGCCTTTTCTCTCACTGTCCTTACAGAAGGAAGCCGTCTGTGGCACACAGCATCGGGGGCTCATCAGCCACTTACATGGGACTAGCCCAGCTGCCGATCTCAGTCTCAAGCGACAGGTTCCCTTGCGTCTCCCTCAGTGGATCCCCCAGCTCCCTTGGGAGCCAGGAAAGTCACCTGAGTGGAGGCCAGGATTCCCCTTCAGAGGCGTCTCCTTGGATGCGAGGGACTGAGGAAAGCTGTGGGCAACTGCGAGAGTCCAGGCTGAGGCTACACTTCAGCAGCTTCTCAAAGGCCCATGTGTCTGAAATCAGGCCCTGACAGCCCACCTGGAGTGGACAAAGAGGAGTGTCTCTCTCTTTGTCTCTGACTCCCAGCCTGCTTCTCCAGGCCACACTGGCCTCTGGGTGAGGCAGGGGGTGTCCCTAACTTCACCAATTTCACGGAACCTGATGCTCACCACCGCAAGGTAGGAGATCTACACTTCACTCTTATTCTTGACTTAATGCTGTACTCTTTATCTCATAAAATGTGTCCGGGCACCCGTTAGCCACTCAAAAGACGATTAGCATCAGCCACCAGGCTTAAGTCTCAGGTGAAAGGTGTCCTGGTGTGTGCTGCTCCTTGATCCTCTGCCTCAGGACAGATGGGAATGTCGGGGAGTGGCTGAGCTGACTTCCTACTTTCCTACCCTAATCTGTGGACTCTGAGGGCAGACCGGACTAGTGGACAGTGGTCCTGGGATCTTGGCTCCGTCTGACTGATCCCACAGCACTGAGTGAACCTCCAGCTAGGCTGTTGCCTATGCGAGACTAGCAGGTGACACCTGACCTCTTGTCTCACAGATCAGGTTTGTTACAGTGACTAGCGGGATCATTCCCAGGCAGTGGCAGAAACTGGTGTTTAAGAGTGTAGACCACCCCAGTCCCCCATAAATGTCCATGGCAGCCTCTGAATTTTATCCTGGCCTTGGAAAATGTTCCCCTGCTCCCCATTCAAAGCAGTCCTCTTAGGCCTGCCCCACTTTCTCCTGTGTAATGTAAAGGAAGCCTGTGAAGTAATCAAGCTGAAACCTGAGACCAACATGTAAATGGCTCTATTCTGTTGACCTCCTTTCCTTAGAGGCAGTCATCCTGGGTCTAGGCATTTCCTTTTCTGTAGCCCCAGGGAAGTGAAACAGGCTTGTGACTCTGACCAAGGCTCAGGCAGTGAGAGGACACACAGTCCCTGCACGTATTGGACAGGCAGGGGGCTTTCAAGGAATGACTAAAGCTTGTGCAGAGAAAACTAGCAAAACTCCCAAAAGGCATAAAGTAGGAGCACACTGGTAAGGTTGCACTAAATCCAGAGCTCCGAGGCGACTCTTGCTGAGTGGGAAGGCAAGAGGGGAATCAAGGCAAGGTGCAGGCCATGCTCTTAAGGAGTGATTAAGTCCAGTAAGCCTGGCAGAGAGGGTGATTGACCACTGTCACCCAGGCTCCAAGGCAAGGGGACGTCCTCACAGAGAAAAAGCTGACCAGGTGTCACACGCCTGTCTTTCTCTCTCCCAGGTGGGAGTTTTCTCTTCAAGTGAAAGCCAGACACACCTCTGGCATGCATTCTAAAGAACTGGGAGCAATTTTGATCCCCAGACCATGAAAAAGAATAAGTGTCTTATCTTCTGCCCACAAGCCTGGCCTCAATACAAACTCTAATGGAGAGGCTTGGCCCCTGAGAGAAGTATACAATATAATAAGGTTATGCATCCAAATTTATTTTAATGCAAGGAAAGAAAATAGTCGAAAGTCCCATGAACTACTACAGTACGGGACTATTTCTCTAAATTTTTTTGGTGAACATCTAGTCTACTTATTGAATTCATTATCTTCAAAAATTGGGAGGTTTTTTTTAAACTAGACTCCCTGAAACCAAAGAAATTTATCTTCTGCAATACAGCCTGGCTTTAAATGACTGGTGTTAGAATTGTACTTGCATTTTATTTCCAGCCCCCTGGACACACACAGTCCCTATCAGTTCAGAGCCTTCATCAACCCTGTTAGTCTGGGGCCATCTAAACCTTAATCCAGTTATATAAAGTGCTCACCTTTAGAGTGTATTCTTGAGAACTGAGATAATTTTAGTCAAATAAGCTAAAAGGAAAGAAGGCAATTGGATATTAGTAGCTCAAATCTTTGTATCAGTTTATCTGTCTGTGTACATGTTCTTTTATGAAAAGTATTGCTAACTGTAGTCATTACATCTCCATCTGTATGTTTGTGTGTCTAAGTGCGTAAATGACAAATATTTTTCTACCTCCGGATGGTATTAATAAAAGTGATTTAACGACAAGCACTTGTGAAAATTGGGCATTCTAAAACTTCCAGAAAATTCTAATGAAAGTTATTAAGCATTAATGCTAATTTAAGTTGAACTGAAATGGACGTGTCCTTATGATTATCAGCTGCCTAAGTTTACCTCCAGTCTTTTAAGTTGATGTTATCTGCTAAGTATTTCAAGAATAAAATGCTTAGAGGCTTGGCTTTGTCTAATAGTCAGTAAAGATTTTGCAAGTAGTCTAGCATAGTTAAGAATGAGTAAACTAAGTGTAGCAAGTGAACATCTTAACAATAATTGTGTGTTACAGTGTATATACCTACCTACAGCCTGAGAATTTTTGTAGTAACCTAAAATCTTACAGTTTTGCTCGGTTTAGACATACTTTGGGCTTAGTGAGATTGTGCCATAAAGCACATGGTTCCAGAAATTATAAAATGTTCATAAATTTGTCAATCTAAAGAATGCTAGTGTAACAGTTTACAATAGCCTACTTCTCGGTGTTCACTGAAAATTAAAGTTCCTAATGATTTTAAATTCTAATTAAAACTACTTGAAATAATGAGGAAAACATTTGTGCATGCTGAAAAATGTATCTTTTGATAAAAGAAAGTAACTTTTTGTAAAGTACAACTGTTCATTTAAAGAGGGAGAACACTGATGTGTAAGGAAAGTTGCAGAAAGCTTGTGGAAAAGTGGATATAGTCATGCTCTGTGAAATAAAAGCGAATGAGTCTCGATATCAAGGACACGGCAAAATCCGAATTTTGTTTTCAGTGAAAAAGACAACGTTTTCTTAAACTGTTAGTCTGCTCTTAATGTTGAAAGATTGCAAAAGGTTCTCTGTTTTATCAAAGCAGTTTCTCATGCTTAAAGTCTCAATGAGTTGTCTGAGTATTTAAGAAAATGAGATCTTAATATTAAAAGGACTAAAAGCTAAACTTTGCTAATGACTGTGTAACCTTCTGTATTTGCTTTTGAGGTATTCTGTTGTCATTCTGGTTAAATGGGTAAGTATTGCTTCGTGGCAACCTATAGTCCTATTTAAGCAAGTGCCAAAGAAACTTTCTTCTGACAGCATCCCAGAATCAAATTCAAAAAGGTGCTTTTACCTCTAGCTAACTCTGATATTTTCCAGAGAGTCCCTGGAACATGTCAGAGGAATTTTTTCTCTTCATCGGGGAAAATATTTGGCTAATTTGGCTTATTTATCTGATATATATTTACCTGGAAAGCACTGTCAAAGGGAATGATGCTAAAGTTTGTTACTGAATGTTTTGTGGTACAAAATTATCCAAATTTCCTTAAGTCAACTGTCTTATAGTAAGCTCTCATCAGATATTTAACTATTGTCATTTGTAAGTCTTTTGTCATTTATAGTCACTGTTTTATTACTCCTAAACTACTAAAGAACTAGATTTCAGCAGAACAGGTATTAGTTACATAGGATTAAGTAAACTAAGGAAGATGATTTTGTGGCTTTTTTGTTTCAAATGTTGCTGATAAGCTGACAACAGTTTAGTAAATGACTATCTTTATAAGCAGAATTGAAACTTTATCTTTCTACCTGATCCCTCTAGAATTTAAAAACTCTCAGTGACTATTTTTATATTTCATGGCAGTATGTTTATTTGCATAAGTTCAATAAGAATAGGCTTTCCTTGTAAGAGAACCAATTAAAAACACTGGTTATATTACCAAGGCTTTGACTGGAATGTCATACCTGACAGACACGTGTGTAAACTCAGATATGAACAGACAGCTTTAAGGACCTAAAGCTGACTTTATAAAGGCAACAAAGCCCCTTGGAAGAACTGGCCTGGTACCTTGCTTACATGGTTCCCAGCAGCCTTATCAGGTGAGTAAGGAAGGTCATTTCCTGGCAGGTGCAGGAACCTCAGGATGTCTTGGGTTCCTCAAGAAGAGAGGAATTCACCCAAATCTACAGGTACTGCAGGCAACACCTCATGGCAAGTCTGGCTTGGCTGTCTGGCCTCAAGAAGCCTTTAGAAGTTCAATCCAAAATTCCTTATAAAAAAGTACCAGCAAAGCACATTTAAAAAGCCTATGTAATCAATTGCTCTTCTTGATGCACTTATGCAAATAATCAAGCCAAGTGTTAATTATTTTCTAGAGAAAAGTATTGTTTCAATAATGCAGACTTTATCTATACTAAATCCTAATACTAGTCATTGGGACATAAACTAAATTCAAAATTGTAGTTTCCCCCAAAATCTGGCTCTGATTCTCCAGATGTGTTAGTTTTTTCCCATCATTTCTGTTAAAGTTTTACTATTTCTAGTTCTCATATTCAACCGTGCATTCTTAATCTCATCAAGTTTGTCCTTCCAGAATGGAAAATCCAACTAACAGATGTTGCTACTTAACCTAATAACACAACTGGTTCTATCCTGCCTAGAAGCCACAAAATTGCAAATAGTAATAAAAGTGGAACCTGGAATAGATGTGCCCATCTTCCGAGGCCCTCTCAACTGACCACTGATGGAGACCTAATGGTACCCTTTACTGTGCCCCTTCTCGGCATGAAGCAGCCAGAGCTGTTGTTGCCCCCTCTCCCTAGCAGCAGCTAGGGTCTCCATCTGTAGAGGGAGGAATGAGACAGGGACCATGGACTTAGACAGACTAGGGTGAGGGCCTTCAGAAAAAGCAAGGCAAGATATTTACAGTCAGAGCAAAGTAACAATCAATGTAAAGTCCCTATCGAAACTCTGTGTTCAGCGGTATGCAGAGTCGAGGTCACACTAATTGTGTAGGGTCGAGACACTAGACTAGGAATGTAGACATCTTCAGTGAGATCAGTTAAAGGTCAAAAGGCCAGGAGCAACTTGGCCTAGAATGTTTGCAGTGCTCAGCAAGGGTATCTCAGCATAATCCATGACTTCACTGTAAACAGCCCTAGCAAACAGACAACAACCCAGCTCACCTTGAGGGCAGGGAAGGTGGTACAAGTCCACACCCTAAGCCCTCAGTTCCCAAGTCCTCAACCGCCTATAAATCGCCTAGACAACGCACCACCATGGCTTGTCCCCTCCTGGAGTGAGCCAGGAGCTCTTTCCTCCCACTTTATTTCTAAATAAAAGCCTCTCCCTGGCTCTCCTAAAAAAAAAGAAAGTAAAAAAGTGTCCCCCTAATTTGAAACTCAGACCCTGTACAGGTGAAAGAACACCAATACTTTGCACTGTGTATTAGTAAAGCAGTTATTTTGTTTTGTTTACTTTAAGTATATTTTAAGATATTTATTTTAAGTTGTATGTTTAAGTTATATTTTGTTTTGTTTATTTTAAGTTGTAAGAGAATTTTAAGTTATTCTCACTGGATTGCTGCTTTCTAAGTTACTGTGCTAATATCACCAGGTTCCACTCCTCAGACTTGGAAAAGGCCAACAGATCAGGCTTTACTCTGCTCATTTTGTTGATGGAAGTGAAGAAACCAGGTCCCAGAAGGTTAGCGTCCCAGAGCTCACAGACATGGGATGGCTGGCTCTGTTTCAGGCAACCTGCTTCCAGGTCCAGGGTGCGGCTGGCCCTCAAACATCTGCTTCAGACCCTTCAATGAAAATCTCCAGTTTCAGTCAGCCAGCTCGCCACAGTACACTTCCCATGAAATGGAGGCCTCGAGCAGGTTCCCGTGAGCTCAAGCCCTAAGTCCCCTCTACCACCAGGTAAGTCTTCAAAGAGCACAATTTTATGTTCAAAACACTATTAGACGCTCAAGTGAAGGGAATTATAAACCTTGATTTAATGTTTATAGAACCGAACAATCTATTCAGGGAGAGAAATTTTACATACCAGAAACAAATAAGAAATTCAGTAAACTTTGTATTTTTCCATTTAGAAAGTGAAATAGTTTTTATTTCAACAAAGTGCATTCTTTTTTTTTTTGAGAGGGCATCTCTCATATTTATTGATCATATGGTTGTTAACAACAATAAAATTCTGTATAGGGGACTCAATGCACAATCATTAATCAACCCCAAGCCTAACTCTCAACAGTCTCCAATCTTCTGAAGCATAACGAACAAGTTTTTACATGGTGAACAAGTTCTTACATAGTGAATAAGTTCTTACATGGTGAACAGTGCAAAGGCAGTCATCACAGAAACTTTCGGTTTTGATCACGCATCATAAACTATAAACAATCAGGTCAATTATGATTATTCATTTGATTTTTATCCTTGATTTATATGCGAATCCCACATTTCTCCCTTATTATTATTATTTTTTTTAAATAAAATGCGGAAGTGGTAGGTTGATGCAAGATAAAGGTAGAAAACACAGTTTAGTGCTGTAAGAGGGCAAATGTAGATGATCAGGTCCATGCCTATAGACTAAGTATTAATCCAAGCTAGACAAGGGCAACAAAACATCCACAGATGCAGAAGATTTCTCTCAAAACAGGGGGGGTGAGGTTCTAAGCCTCACCTCTGTTGATCCCCAATTTCTCACCTGATGGCCCCCCTGCGACTGTGCCTGTCTTAGGTTGTTCCTCCCTTGAGGAATCTTACCTGTCTCTGGCTAACCAGTCATCTTTCGGGGAACAAAGAGCATTCTTAAAACTTACGAAAATGGTTAAGCAAGAATCTCAGTGTCTACATCACTTTGCAGTCTTGGGGCCATTAGGCACAATATTGTGTAGAAATGATATCGTGATACCCAGAAACAGCAACCATCCAACGCCTGAGCTCCTCTCTCCAGGGAGTGTAAGTGTAGCCAACCAGCTTCCCTAAGGACACATTCTGCCATGCATGCTGAATTTACTCCTTAACAGTGTGAGATAACCACTTCTATTTTACTATTTTATACCCACAGAAAATGCTGGGAGAAGTATTGACTTCAAAGGAAGCCCCTAGGCCTTGATTCTGGTTTCAGCTTGACCATTTGCTCCAAGGACTTGAGCAAACCAGTTCACCTTTCAAGGTTTATGGGTGACACCAGAGGGCTTTGGTGCTGAGCTGGGGCACCTACTCTATCACCATTTTATTACAAACCTTCCCCAGCATATTGGTCCAGTGATTTTCCAATAAGAAGATGTGATATAATTGGATTTCCTGATCCTCAGTGTCAACGTAAACCTCCCAGTAATGCCTCCTCAAGGAGACATATAAGTAATTTGAGGGAAGATGCTTTAAGATTGTAAATATTTTATTCGCTAACAAATTTTTACCATGGAAATAAATGAATGCATGAATCTTAAAGAATAGAATGTTCTAATGGATTAGGAATTGGATGAGCAAAAAGAGCTTGAGAGTTTGAAAGTGACAGGAAGGATGATGCAAAATAAATACATCATCACCATTATTATCATTAAAATAAAATACTATACTCCAATTTTTTATACTCAGGTTAAAAAAGTCAGATGAAATATACAACCTTCAGGTAAGGTATCTACCCTTTCTTATTCCATTATGTCCTAAATATTAGTTTATTAGTATTAATATACTTAGTCATAAGAAATGAGAAGTAATTTTGTTTTTTGTGAATAGGCATGAGGAGTGTTCATGGGAATCTAGTGGGAAAGTCAAGTTTATAAACATTTTACAGTAGTGCATATGTGTATGTCAATGAAGAGAAGAATATCTATAGATTTAGGACTTAATATCCACACTATGTAGGCTATTTCATGAGATGTTTACATCTAATTTAAGGTGCTAAAGGGGTTTTGCATTTGAACATGAAGGGCTCATCATTGGGGCAAAAAATGAAGCCATCAAATGAAATGTAATTCGGTAGGGATAGCATAGGACACCAATTCTTTCTAGAAATAATTCTAATGGGCTTGCAGTAGACAGAGACTTCTCTCAAAGTATATCAAGAGAAGTTAAATAAATAGTTAACTAGAACAATCTATTTTTTAATATTAATTAATTCAATTAAAAAAATTACTTTGCAACCACAAAGTAAAAACTGATTTGGGGAAGAATCCAGATTTGCTAAAACCATTGGATAAAAGCGTGTCAGGGAACAGGATTTTAACACAATTTCAAAGTCCCTCCAAACAAACTACTTATGAATTACAGAGGGAAATAAAGTACCGTTACAACAGAGACATTACTTAAGCCAGTATTCAAAATGAACATCAGCAGTGATAGGAAGAACCAACACCACATACCCCCTGCTGTTATGAGAAAACTCAACATCACTGACCTGGTAACCCTCCTCAAAAATGCGTGAGCTAAATTAAATCTAAGTACAAAACAATCATATAAACAAAAATTGGGGACATTCTAAAACACAGCTGGCCTGTGCTCCTCAAAAACATTAATGTCATCAAAGACCAAGAAAAACTGAGAAACTGCCTTAGATTACACTGTCTAAAGAGACAAGTAAAGGCATCCCATGACCTTGGATTGGAAAAGAAATTTGCTGTAAAGGATATTGAGATGACAGGTGGAATTTTAATACAGACTCAATATCACACAATTCTATATCAGTGTTAAATTTCCTGGCTTTGATCATTGTGCCGCAGTCATGGGCAAGAATGACCTTGTCATTCAGAAATACACTCGATGTGTTATGGGGCAGAGGGCTTTGAAGTCAGCAGCTTACTCGCAAATATTCAACAGACGTATAATAATTCACAGAGAGGAAGAGAGAAATAAAGCATTGCAACGCTCTTGGGACGTTTCTGTCCAGTCCTTACGGTTTGCCAGGCAATATGTCAGGAGCTAGGAATGACAGTTTAAAGGAATACTTCTTTTCTTCAGAGGACTTGGAACTCTAGTGGGGCGAGAGAGAAGAATAAACTGCAGAATCACTGAGGAGCAAAATCCTACGGAAATCTGTATGATGTGCTGCAAGCCTAGCGCACGAGCTCCCCTCTCTTCGTTTGGGGGGAGGCCTCACATGACGCTGCGGCTGAATCCTGGAGGATGAGTAGAAATTTGCAAGGGAGCAAATGAAGAAAGGAAGCACCAGGCGTGGAGCAGCGAGGGCCCAGCAGAGGTACTGGATGCCCCAAAACTGCTCACTGGGGCCCGGGAGCTCAGGATTTCCAGGTAAGCCTCCACTGGAGCCCACACACCGGGGCCGTGAGCTCCGGGCATGGCGAGCTAATGGAGACCGTGGGTTTCCTGAGGGGACTGCACGGGGAAGGCAGGAGAGCAGCGGGGACCTGGGCAGAGGTTCTCAATCTTCAACTGCAAGACGCCCTTCCTTCCTGCAGCCTCACCAGCAGAGCTTTCCACAGGAGCCTCTTCCAAGGGCCCTGCTTTCCCCTGCAGTTATCTCAGTAACAAAATGAAGACACCATCCCCAGCAGTCTGTGCCCCCGGCTCTTCAACTCGAGAACCACATCAGAATCATCCAGAGGGCCCGTGAGAACCCAGCTTCCAGACCCCACGTTCAGAGCTTCTGGCTCGGCAGGCCCGAGGCAGGGCCCGGGGGTCTGCTCGCTGGGCCGGTCCGGGGGGAACGCACTCTGAGAGCCCCTCTTCGGGCCCCTCAGCACGCCGCTTCCTGCCTGTGCAGCCCCCGCCCCTCACAGCCCCTCCAGCTCCCAGGGAGGAAAGCGAGCGGCTGTTCTCAGCTGAGCGGGGCAAGGAGCTCACAGACAAGCAACTAAAAATACATACACTTGGCTGGGAGGTGAACAGAAGCTTCTAAATGTTTGGATGCATTGTGCAAATGTGCAAAATTAGGAATTCGCAATGTGCGAATTTATGCAGATCATGCAAATTTATGCAAATTTCAAATGTGCAAAATTAATTTAATATTATTTTCTAATAATGCTTTATTCTCTGAAACCCAGAGCTTTGTTCTCTCTCTCTCCCTCCCTCCCTCTCTCTCTCTCTCTCTCTCTCTCTCTGCCAGGTTACTTGGTCAGGGGTATTTTAAGCACCATTTACGTGGCTTTCATACAAGACCACCTTGCTGTACACCACCTCCTGCTTGGCAACAGAAAACTCCAGAAGGCAAACCGCTGGGGGACACGAACTGATTCTTCTGTGCACAAAACGCTAGAATCCACATGGCACGTTTGACAGTTAAAAAATCTAAAGGTTAGCCTTGACCTATGGCATAAACATTAACATTTGCTTTCTGTGCCCATTCACAAATCTTATGACTGCTAGGATATATCTACAACTCTGTTTTGAAATCTTTGAGGGATGCTATGCCAAACATTTCAGTGACAACATGTCATTAGGCTCAGAAAAAAAGAAAGCATGATGCAGACTCTTGCAGCTTTCCCCCACGGGGAGATGAAGATTATGATTCCAGAGGTCAGCAGAGCGCCGTGCAAAGCCATAAATGGGCACTGACGGCCATGACACCCCATCAGCTGTAATAATTACAAGGTTAGCACACAGTTAATTTGTGAGGTGTTAAACATTTTGGATCAGAACAAAATCTAAACACTTAGGCAGTTTTTAATTATCCTAGGCCCTCAGTGCCCGGTTCAAACATCAGTTACGCCATTTGCTAGACTGCATTCCCATCGTCTGCCTTCTTGTTCATCTCCCTTGCTGGGCTGTAAACACACAGAGCCTGGAGCCTCAGTCTGAGAAATATTTTGTTGAAACTAAATCTTTTCCTCTTATGATTATTATGTAAATAATTGAACAAACTGCCCAATTATTTAATCCAAGGAAAAAAGAATATTTGCTCAACTTCTGTGTGGCTTATAAACTCTGTTACCCCAGCATTTCATGAGTGGGGTCACCAGAGAAATGGGAATAACTACACTACCTTTCCGAGGCGTGTCACTCAGGAAGGATGCTTACGATTCGCTAGCCGATCAGACCTCTCCAAAGGCCCGGGCAGGCCAGGGCACTCTGCCACAAGTAAACACAGAGCAAGTCATGATGGTGAATGTGGCTAGGATGGCCCTCTGTAGTTGTCTGGCCTGGTTTCATGTACACTGTCCTTCATCTCTTCCATGTCCTGGAAGAAGAAGGTTACCCCAGAATCTGGAAAGGAGTATAGAGTAAAGCAGTAAAAAAATTGCACAGAACTTGACTTTGAATTTTCTGGTTCAATTGCCAGCCCTGCCACATTCTTGTCATGCAGCTCTTGGAAGTCTCTTGAACTCTCTGGGCCTCAGAGATGTCAGCATGAGGTAGAGACAATGATCCCTTGCCATCACCACTGGACAGGGGTATCAGAAGGACAGCATGAGCTAGTGCGGGAGGAAGGACCTTTTTAAAAGCTGTAAAATTTGAAGGATTTCCATCACCTTTGTCAAACAGTAATCTACAGAACAAAATCCCTCAAATTTAGTCCTTTCATACTGGTAGAACCAAATCTCAGCATATTTTATTCTAAAGGAAATGCTTTGCTTCAGCCAGAGAGCTGTGACTACATTTTCGCTTCATTATGTGTAGGAAATAACCATGTAGTGATAAACGTGAGGTCTGGGATTGTGCAGACGTTTTCATAGCAGTGACAAAGACTCCCTGACTTGGAGGAGTGGTGTACCAGGTGTGACCCCAAGCTGGTGGCAATGTGGTCACCTGGGTAAATTCTTTGAAACTAGCTGTCTGTGCTCTGAGCTAAATCATTCCCTTTTGTCTCTAGGACTTCAGCTTAAAATAACTAAGTGCAACTGAAGCAATTCTTTGTATCATTTTTTAATATCTTAAGTAGTTTTGAATAAAGTGTGTAAAGACAAATTGAAAAACACCTGTTAAATGTGGGAACACAAAGCTTTCCGGCCATCAGAAAGACAAGTGGTTTCTTCACAGACTACAGGATGCACTGACTTTGGCCACAGAACTTTTTGAAGTTGCGCCATTAAAGACTGCACTTTGCCATGTTTATTCAGACTTCGTGGGTTCAGGATAAGCCATGGTTCCTTCCTCTGCCTTGAAGGCTGCATGCACACCCAGGCCCAGTGCATGTGCACATGCACACACCCACACTCACATCACACGCACCTGGCAGGCTCCTAGTCATCTTTCAAAGCCCAGCTCAGATGTCACCTCCCTGACCCTAGCCTGGCAGCCCACTGCTCCCTGTCCGGTTGTTCCTCTGAACCTTGTACGCTTAGGTTAATGAATCACTGGGCTGTTGAAATCGTGTCTTCATCATCCACACATGCTCAGCACCCAGAGCAGCTCCTTCTTCGCTCTTTCCTCTTCTCTCCCTCCCGTCACCGCCCTCAGCTCATGCCGACCCCGGCCTTCTGACCGTGCAGCCCAAGAGCACTGGAATCAGCAGCACCTCCTCTCACACACATGCTCCCTGCGTGCGACCTGCCAGGAAGTCCTGAGGGCTCTGCGTTCACAGTTGTTTATCAGAAGCTGACCCTCTAGCACCATTTCTGCTGCAGAGGGTCTGGCTCAGGCTCCATCCTCTCTCTTGCTCGACTTTGCCAGCAACCTCTATGGGTCTCTCTGCTCCGGCCTTTCTCTCTGAAGTCTGTTCTTAACATATATCTACAGAAATCCTTTAAAACCTCAGTTACCCTTGCCCAGAATCTTCCAATGGCTCCCCGTTTCACTCAGGGTAAAGAGACAAAACAGACTATAAGGCCCTATGCAGTTGGGCCCCAGTTTTCACCTGACTCATTTCTCACCTCACTCATTATACTCTGATCACTTTGGCCTACTGGCTGGCCTCCTAATAAGCCAGTTACACTCCCTATTTAGGATCTTTGCACATGATGTTGACTCTATCTGGAATACTCTTCCCCACATATCCACACATATTCCATATACTCACACATATCCCATATAATCACGTATGTCCTATATACCTCATATATCCTATATATCCACACATATCCACATATACACCATGTGTTCCCATGTATCTAGTATGTCCATGTATATCTACATTTATCCCAAGTATCCACCTATATTCATGTACCCATCTTTAGCTACATATATCCCCATACATCTCCATATAGCCACATGGCTGGTTCCCTCTTCCCTCATGTCATTGCTCAGATGTTACATTCTCAGTAAAGTTCACCCTAGCCATTCTATTTAAAACTACTATCCACCCTCATTCTCCCAGTACACAAAACCCTCTACACCCTGCTCTGCTTTTCCTCTTCCCACCTTTTAACATGCTATATAATGGTCATTATTATTTTAATTTATTATCTACTTGTCACACCCCCACTTCAATAGAATATGAATAATACAAGATAGCTTTCTATTTTCCATGAAGTATCCCCAGTGCTTGGCACAGAGTAGGTATATTTGTTGCATAAATCCATTTATTCAGAAAAAGAAAATTACTTTCTGTTCTTAAAATAGAATGTTCTACACAAAGATTTAGAGGCAGTCTAGGGAAGATTGCTAGACCCCCCTCATCCTTTCTTTTTCAAAGCCAACTAGGTTCACTTTTCTATTTTAATTCATTTGTGTTAAAATTTTAATCAGAACAAATAAAATAAAACTAAAAGCATTTGGCAAATTCATAGAATGAGTAAAACCATATCATGGGAATAGTATAAAAAGGACTTGTTTCAGGATGTCTGAGGAACCTGAAATGGAGTCAGTCTGACTACAGCCCGAACCCAAGAAGGCAGGAGAAAAACACAGCCAAAAGGTGGGTCTTCTCAACCTCACAGATGCAAAATTCACTCACACAGTGAGCTGTTCAAACATAAGACATAAAAGCAGGTTGGAATGCTTGATCAAAACAATCTCCCAGGGGGGAGGAGCCAAGATGGCAGCATGAGTAGCGCTGCAGAAATCCCTTCCAAAACCATATATATTTTTGAAAATACAACAAATACAACTATTCCTAAAAGAGAGGCCAGAAGATATAGGGCAACAGTCAGGCTACATCTACATCTGCGAGAACTCAGTGCCTCACAAAGGGGGTAAAATACATGCCGCGGTCTGGTGGGACCCAAGCGCAGCCCCAACCCCAGCTCCCCAGTGGGAGGAAAGGAGTTCGAGCGGGGAGGGAGTGGAAGCCCAGGACTGCTAAATACCCAGCCCTAGTCATCCGCACCAGGAGCACAAACACACAGT